CACCTATACCCCCCCACCCTAACCTTCCCTTATATTGTAAAGCAATTGTGAGTCCTTGAAAAGCCCTATACAAATATAATTTATTATTATTATTATTATTATTATTATTATACTGACAGGTGTCAGATCTTGCTGTGTAAAATAATCTTCCTGAGAGGTGTCACTTGTGATGTAGTCTGTGTGGTCTACAGTGAATGTATTCCTGACAGACACAGGTGATAAGAATCAAAGGTTCCCATAGGATCCCATTGTTGAGCCACTTATGGAAGCTTGGGGTCGTAATACAAAAACTACAATTTCTTAAAATGTATACAATTTAAATGTGAATGGCATGATATCCAAAACGTGTTTTTTGAGGAGTAGCTGGAATGATAAAAAAAAAATGTACTTACAAAGATACTTCAAGAAAACCACCGGGTAAAAAAAGACCCACTTATGCATCTAAGGGTTAAGAAGGCCAGTCTCACCTTTCTGAGGTCAGACGGATGCGCTCCTCACTCCCCGAGTGAAACTGATCATCCTTTTCATGAAAGTACGTCTCCACACACTGCTCCTCAAAATCATGAAGCTTCTTTTGGTCCTCCTCTGTGAGAAACAGCTCTGAAAGAACGTAAACAGGCGTGTTAAGGTTAGACATTTCCTTAATGTGCAGTAAGCAGTACATATTTGTCCAATTGTTTTTCAGGCATAAAATATTTAGATTACAATGTTGAAAAGACAACAAAGTAATGTATCTATTTATATGAATGGCATCCTTTATCCGCATCTTTTGAATAATGCAATATATGAGATTTGAGGCGATGATGCAGAAAAAGGTCGTACTTGGTCCGTAGGTATGCTCCTTCTTTCTCTTCCGACACATACAGAAGAGGGAGTAGATATGGCAGAGGAGGATGAAGGGGGGGGGGAGGACCGGCTTCTCATGGTAGGCCATAATGAAGTGGTAGCGCTGGTACTTCCACACCAGATTAGAAATGGACTTCACTTGCAGATACACATTGCTGGAAAGAGAGTACAGACATTAAACCCAGGATAACGATGTTGTTGAGAATGTCAGCCATATTTCAGAATTACAGGGAGCGTTTACCCAAACATTTAAAATCTAAAAGTCTGCTCTGATTGGTTAGCTGGACGGCACTGTTGTAATTGGTTAACCGGTTAGAGATGTCCCGCCCCTTAGCCTATCATGTACAATATGTTGGCGCACTAGCTTATACTAACACCAGTGTTACATAGTGACGTTATTATGATACAGAAATAAACAAATGAGTCCAATGGAGGCGTGTCAGTTAGAAACTGCCTCTCAAGGGAACTTTGGGAGTTTAGACTTTGCAGATCTTTTACATGCACAAAAACTTACAGTATAAATCACACTACAGGATAGGGAAAAGCACAAAGAGCTAAATAGGGGCTCTTCCTTCTGGGAGGTGATGAGGTTGGTGGGAGTAGTTTGGTAGAAAGAAAATAGCTCCTACATGAAACTGATCATAAAACCAATCAGTTATCGAAGTAACCGAGTCATGATTTTCTAAAAGGAGACATTGTTGTTTGAATTTTTTTTTTGCAAAGTGCCATGTAGTTCCATTTGAGAGAAGGCACACATCTCTGCGGCTGACATCTCCAACACTTAATTTATCCAGATTGATAAATAGAACTATGAGTAAAGGAAAAATACATATAATATACATTGGGTTAAGTATCCCTATCTGGTTATAACACCAGAGGTGTAGTGGTCGTTGGACGCGGGGGGTCGCCGTACCCCCACTTATTTTGAGCCCCCACTTTTTTGAAGCATGATTTTAATAGTCTAATAAATATAAAAGCATTGCAAGTGTTATCAGTTGCAAGTGTGTATTTGTTGTAACAATGACGAAAACTTAACCTACATTTCACAGTAATTATAATAAAAACGTAGCTCAAGCATTTATGCAACTTGATTTGAAGCCTGTGTGTGTGCGTGCGTGCGTGCGTGCGTGTGTAGGGTGACCAGGTGTACACCATTTTTATCATTTGTCCCGTGTCCCACAAATTGAGACTATGTTCCGCATTTGAGTGAGAGTCGCGTAGAAAGGTAATCATGTAAGTTGCGCTGACAGGCGACAGAGGTCCAGAGTGAACCCCCCCTCCCCCGTTGACAGTTCACAAGCTCGTCCATAGCGTCTCCCCCCCACGTCCACCCAGTAAAAACATCCCCACTGTATAACACATAACCAGAAACTGGGCAAAGATAATGAGTAAACAGTATTCTGGATACAGCACTGGAATGTTGTGCACTTACTTGAAGAAGGCGATGAGGAGGTTGACCATTAGTATATACTGAACAAAGAGGTAGACTGCTTGTAGGAGAGGAGTCAGCCACGCTCCCGCCGTACACAGTGGCTTTACTGCTATGTCACTGTTATTGGCACACACTGTGAAGAGGAGGAGTGTTTAAGGATGGGCACACTCCAGCAGGTATGCATGCACTGACAAATCCCCAAATATGCTAAAGATAAACTTACATCCACCAGGACTTTTTTATTTGCATTTTCTATAATTAACTTTCTGTCTGGTGTCGGTCCAAATCTGACTTTACCACAAATGCATTCACACAAAGAGTAAAGGAGACCATAATACCTCAAATAATGAATTGTTTAATAATACATTCCTGACCACCTGCTCTCTAGATATCCATTGAAAAGCCCATATTGATCCTCAGCAAGTACATAGCTCTAACGACGTAAATCCACAAAAAAGATGCTGCATACACGTACTGTAAATTGTAAAGTACCCTTAACTTTTGTGCAAACGGGTATAAGAAAATAGCCGACTACACTTGGTGTGACAAATAAGCTGCAACTATGATGTGTTTAGAGGGGTAATTTAATTCAACTCTAGCCTTAAGCATTCACTAGCTTTCTTTAAATAACAACTTTACAACAAACTTAAACAGCATCATTTACATCTGACTTTTTACCTTAGCTATAGTAACACTCATAAACCATGTGATAATTTTCAGCAGTGTGTGAAACCTTGGGATGCCAACTCAGGTTATGGAGCTCTGCCAGGTGTTTTGTTCCACTGAAGCATCCAACGCGCCCGATCACTTAATCGTTCGCTGTTATCCAGAACACTTTAAGAGGAGTCAGGGACGATCGATGCTGTGGTGAAACAAAAAGCCCTGCCTTACCAAACAGACCTGCGTTGGCCGCTTCGGTGTGTGAACCCATGTTGAGTGAAAGAGACTGTGAAGGAAGGCAATGATTATGCCATCGTGGGTTTGATTTCCAGTGCTCGTTTGGAGTGCCAATCAGCTATCATGCCGTGGTGGAAAGCTTTGAATAAAACTATTCTTACCGGCGTAATCTCCTATACCTTCCTCATCGTCCTTACCGTCGATTTCATAGGCATACACTTCCCCGTACATCATCCAGTACGGCTGGAAGACCACGTCTTTGGCCAGCGACCAGCTGGGCTCCTCATGTGGATACAGAATGGCTTTCCGGGGAACGCCATAGCTCAGCAGGACTATAGCCATTATTACCACAATATAAAACATGTTGGCCACCTGCAACAGATCGCACACAATTAATACGAAACATGAGAGATGGCATATCAATTGCATTTAAACATGTCGTCTGCTTTCTTTACACCATGCAGTTGTGTGACTTCTCACTTTCTCACCATTTTAGCGATCATCATGACGTACGGTCCAGCCTGCTGGTTGACAGCCAGGATGTCCAGGAGTCGCACGTACCAGAAGATAATATTCAGACAATACACCGTCCTGCCGGGGACGAAGGCTTCACCTCCGGCCAATCTCAGGCCGAAGCCGATGAAAAAGGTCACAATGGCCAGAAAGTCGGACACATTAAAGTAGTCACTGAACCACACCTTTATCTTCTGGGATATTTTGCCCGCTTCAGACATAAACACCTGGGGAAGAAGAGGAAGAAAATGGAAAAATAAAGAAATAATTTTGAGGAGAGTTTATTTGAAGTATTGGCTTTACAGCAGTGTTAATTTTGGCAGCTGTTTTTGATTTAGTCTTAAAACGAAAATGGTTATTAGTTTTAATCACATTTGAGTCATTCCTATCCTTCGTAGTTTTAGTCGACGAAAACTCAAAACGTTTTAGTCAACTTTTAGTCGATGAAAAATTACATTTCAGTCAAAATGTGTCTCTATACTCTCGAAACGCTCCTTCCTCGGCAGATCTCTGTGTCCGCTGCAG